GCTGGTGGGCTAAGCAGCCCCTGAGCTGTGGGGGCCCTGGTCCTTCCCTCCATGGTGGTGGCACCTCTTGGGGCTGCCCGGGCAGGCTGCTAGCAGGTTGGGTGCTGCCCCAGCTTGGAGGCAGCCCCCAGCCTGTTCCAACTGTTCCCCAAGCCCGTCCACTGGAATCCTGCCAGATGCTGCTCCCCAGGTGGGGTTGGGGAACAATTGGATTGGGCTGGGTGCTGCTTCTGAGCTGAGGCAGCACCCAGCCTGCTAGTAGCCCACATGGGCAGCCTGGGGGTGGGGTGCTGCCACTGTGGAGGGAAGGACAGGGACCCCCACAGCTCAAGAGCTTCTCAGCTCACCAGAAGCTCACCCCCGGCTGCAGGAGAGGTGGGCAGGCTCCACCAATAAATAAATAAATAAACAAATAAAGGATTGGGCCCCTTGCTGTTTTTTGTACTGGTGCCTGTGGCAGCCAAGCAGCTGCTGAAGGCAGAAGTGGTGAGGGGCCTGATCCTTTTTTTCTACAGAGCCTGCCTGCCTCTCCCACAGCTGAGGGGCAAGCTGACAGCTGCATTGTTGTACTTTGCAACATTGCAAACTCAACTTCAACCTGATGTAATTTAGCTTGCAATGATGCAAAAAGTCATTTAAAACCTCCAAAAGTGGTGTACTTGTAATGCATGACTCCACTAAGCCACATAAATTACATTTTCATCTTGTGTACATCACAACAACCATCATGTGTACAAGTGCCCTAAGATGTACCTCTACCCTGCATTCTGCTGACTTCAGATTAATATAACTAACTAGTTCTCGCTGAAATGTCTTTAGAAGGCTTGCTCCTACCTTTGGGCCAAAAAAGAGAAAAACAATCATTAAGGACTAGGGGTCTGACCCAAAGCCCACTGAAATCAACAAGAGTCTCCTTAAGCCATTAGCATAGCAGTAGCTGCTGCTCCATAGACACTTGTATTTTCACGTGTGTAAAGCCCCTTAAATTTAAGTGTGAGTGTGTACCAGACATCAGTGATTTACCTCTGGAGAGAGCAGGTAGCCTTGTCCTGCAGGGCCATGCCCAGGACTGTGTATATTGGCTGACCGGCTTGCACCATAGCACCAATAAAATGGTTTAAAACTGAGTGTAAAGAAGATACGTTTTTACACAATATAAGCCAAATTCTGTTCCTGTGTCCACATCTACACAAACTCACCACAGCTGGCAAGAAAGACCTAAAGAAGAAATCTGCATGGAGTTTGACATTACTGTTAAGGCAAGATTATTTTAAATGAATGCTTCTCTGAGAGAACAATAGCAGTAAAGATCAGGTATCTATGACTCAGTGAAGCCCTCTGACAGCAGCATGCACCATCTATAGATTCCCTGCTCATCCAAAACACAGAGTTCTAGAAGACTGATGGCAGCACCAATGATCTTTGGGGAAAATGGGGTTGCAGAGCATCTACTTAATAGATTAACTCACTCATTGCCTCAAGGGCTCAGCAGTGAAAAGCATTTCCAAGATCAACTTAACTAATTAGGAAAACAGCACCTGAAAAATTACATCTAATGCATTATATTCTCTTCCCGTGAAAATGGTGCTGGAAAGCAATGGCTGCTGCCTTGCCTTGTGTTAAGGTAAGCACCTGTCAGATATCCAAAATTCCCAATAAAGTAAGATTGGCTGGGAGAAAGGTAAGCTCTTTGGCTTGATGTTTAATATTTTTTCTGAACGTCAAGAGGTGCTTCCTAGTAGTTTGGCTAAGGGGTACTGGTTGTCTGCAGTACAGTAATTACTGCAATGCATCTCTATAGATTTGATATATATCTGTACACTATACTATACACTATTACCTGATGCCCTGTATACCATACTATACGATACACTAGTACCTAACATACCCCCATCTATACACTATTCTAGTCTGTTAAGCAGTCCTGAACAACTCTATACAAGTCAGCACATGAAGGGATAGCATGGGTCAGCCCTTATAGGTCAGTCAGTTTTCCGACCATTGTCCTGAACCAATTTTCTCTCCATACTCATCTTGATGATTAGCAACTTCACTGAACGGGATGGTGTTATGCTTGATCCCCTGGGTATAATCATTTGGCTTTTTGAACTGAGCTGGCTATCACAACGGTATACAGCTGAATATAATAAATGAATAAATATATCTCAAAGCACAGAAGGATACAAAGCAGCACAGAATGACCATAGATTTGGGCACCTGCTGACAACTGCTCCAACCACTGAGCTCCTTTTTCTACATACAGGCATTTTCTTGGAAGTCTTACACTAACCAACAGTTCTCTTTAAATGAGTGTTGAGGGAAAAAAGAGAAACTGAGATTCTACATGGCCCTTTTGAAGTATGTAAGGTGCTCATATCACAGCTGCCTACAGTTAAGCAGTTGCTTAATAATGGCTGGATGAAGGTCAAAGAGGTCAGCATCTTGCATGATTATTTCTTCTGCTATTCTAGGACAGTAGTTTCTGCATTCACTTCTAGATATCTAACTAACTTGAGCCTGTGGGTGTCAGGTACTGGTAGGTAATGGGAAAGGATTTCCATTATCTGATTTGAAGACAAAATGACCACAGTTGATATGCCTGTAAAAGTTATAAAAAGAAATCATGGGCCTCTCAGAAAAATGGGGCTTCTCAGAAGAAATCCACAACTGAGGCAATTCTTTCTTTGGATAAAAATTAAATTATGTCTCTATGTCTAGTGGATATTGGTTCCAGTGGACACATCTGTCTCCCTACAACTCAATTGTCCACTGACCCTTTTTAACACAGAAGTATAATGATTCCCTGCTGCCTTTTAAATTTAATAAACACTCACCATGTGATGCTGGTTCAAGGCATGAAAGAGTTGCTATAAAGTTAGAGTTATCTCAACAAAGCCAGGCAAAGCTAGTTGGACCAGCTCTGGAATACCAAACCCACAGCACCCATTGCTATTGTGCAAACATCTCATGTCAGGAGAAAAAAATGAGCAGTCTCCCTTTGCCTGTGAAACTGGGTGATAGCAGGTGTCATATGACACTTTTACACATGCTCCAGGGGTTGTGGGGGCAATGGTTTTATTAGAGCTCCTCTAATTAAAGCACTGCAGTGTCTTGTGTATCAGCGTCCCCACGATTCAAAATGGCTGAATAAGCTTTAGTTCAAGCACCCGCTCCCACCATTTTGAAGCATGGAGACGCTGATGCATGAGATGTTGGAAGCTGCTGGAGTGCAGTAATTACCACAGTCCAACAGATTTTATTAATCAAGTCTGCTTGGACGGGCTGTAATTACAGTTTAATTACAGTGCATCAGAGCAGCCTCTGCACTTGTGCACAAGCACCCATAACGTGTGATGGAGACACACACCTGAGATGGGAAATGGCCATCAGGACGTGCTTCAATTGCTACCATGACTCCAGGGGAGCTATTTTAGTTAACATCAGCTGAGGAGGTGTTTCTATATCTACAACCCTCCTTTTAGCCAGTTCTGCGACAGGGCCACTCCTAGCCTACAGAATTCCAGAGACCAGCAAAGGGAGAGGAGATGGTTTCCTTTCCTCCAGGAAAATCTCAGGTCCCTTGAGAATAATTTGTAAAGGTTTCCTTTGGAGATATGCATGCTCTGCTTGTTAACCACTGTGCCTTCAACAAATATGCAAACCATTAATTCATCATGCCTCACAAACCAGCAAAAAGTGCCCTGCAGCAACTTAATATATTCTGAGCGAATAAGAAAGTTGTTGATGGATGTTTTTATGCAGACTGCCTACATGGCAAATGTCTCCCTGGGTCTATGACATTCTGCTGATGGCTCCTCTATAGCTGACATTTAGCATGACTGGGGGGTTACAGTGATATCTCACGGGGATGAACCTGACCTCCGGTAACCTGTGTAAATCTATTCTGAGGCTACTGCAATTATCGAGCCAAATCTACAGCTCACAAAAGGAATTTCAATGCTGATTTCAATGTGGTGAGAATTTGGCTTTTTAACCCTTGGGGGTACTCCAAGGAATTAACAGCAGTGTCTCAGCTCAAACCCTGTGCCAGAGGCATAACGAGCAGTTGCTGTACCCAGGGTAGCAGCAGCAGCCAGTCCTGATTCTCATTACTCTGCTGCCCTGTCCCCATCCATTTGGGTCTAGAATGGGCTAGACAAAGTCATAAAATGTACGTGGGGATGTGCATTTTAATATCAGACTCTTTTTCACGTTTATTTGTTCATATCCTAAAGCAGTGAGCAGTAAGAAATATAAATAAGTAACAGGAGCCTTCACTGCTGCAATTGATTTTACTTAATGCAAGGAATATTTAAAAAAAAAAAAAAGAAAGAAAGAAAAGAAAAGAAAAAAAGTTCAATTTCAAAAGAAAAATAAATTCCCAGTAAAATCATTTTTGTAACCCTGAGCCAGAACTAACCCTGCTTCTTTGCAATGAAACCATTGATACGATCTGCTCTGTGCACCTCTTGTCTCTACCATGATCATCTAATGTTAAAGTTGATGTTCTGTAATCTGTTGTTAATGGGCCTCTTTGTTCCAGCATAAAAAGTGAGTGTAAAATGGCAGGCTCCCTCACCAGCCCAGGAAGAATTGGCTGCCTCTCTGAGGACCCAACAGCAGCTCCTCCCATACTTCTTCCTTTCCATGCCTTTGTTGTCCCTTGTCTACCTGCCTATCCAAGTTATTCTCTCAGCCCTTCGTAGGAAAAACCTGGCCACTTTCCAGCTGGGTGTCATAGTTGCACGGGTCTGGTTGGCCTTAGGTCCTCTGGCTGCTAAGAGGCAGGCCACACCATTACAGTTACTGTTTTGAATGCCCCCCTTGATATGAGATACAATAGTAATGTGCAGTCCAAAGCAAGGAGAGTAATAAAGCTACCATCCTTGTACCAGAATAGAGGTATGTATAAAGTAAGTATATGTATTCCAGCAAGGTTGTAAAGAAGGAACTACAAAATACAGTTTACAATGTATTTTAGCTTCTTTTTTTCTTTTTTCTTTGGTGGGGGGGACTTCAGAAAAATGCCACATTTTCTGCCAAACTTAGCAGAAAATGATCCACACCCCAATTCCCTTGGGCAAAACCACTTCAGTCAGCTATTACTTTATGATTCCAGCTTTTAGTGTTTGTAATAATGTAATGGATCTCTCATAAAACAGGTTGATATGCTTAAATCCAAATAGAAGCTCAAATATGAAATTCCTAACTCAGCTTTTACATGGTGTCCCTTCAAGCATGACTCCCATCTCCTTTCAACTGAGTAAAAAGTAAGTATGATCTAATCATGGACTTCAATATCTACCCTGTGCTACTTTATTTGTATGGCACTGGTACAGATTTTCAAGCCTGATTCTGAGCTCAGGTGCCAATTATGAAGAGTAACTCCACTGAAACCATCTAGTATGAATAAGACCTAAATTAGGCCCTTAGTGTGACTGCATAGCCCTTCTTTCAACAGAGTTGAGGAGTGAGACAGAATATGTATTCTGCATTACAACCTGCTCATCATAACATGAGAGAGGTTTATAGATTTTGAACCCAGTTCAACAGGCAAAGATCAGTGGGGTCCACTTATGTGAATGAGGCCCAGACAGTCAGACTTTTGCCACCTTCTTGCACCTTTTCATCCATTGCTTAATGATGTTTATAGGTTTTGAAATTCTTTGTTGGGTCACACAACAGCCCTGGCAAAGGAGGCGATATTGAAATTGCTTCCAGACCATAAAAAATATACTGTAACAGTCCTACTTGCTTTACTATTCACCGGTGCTCTTTGGTCAGCCACTGCTTGGGCACAAAAGCAAAAGTTGAGTAAGGTATTGTCTAGGTACAGCAGCTGGCCTCAGACATATACCCAATTATATGAACCACTAAAAATGTCTCTCTGGCATCACGAAGGTCCTCAGTCAGACAGACGCTGTTCCAGTATTTTAAAGTGTGGCCTGTGGTTGTTCTGTTACCCCAGGAGTGAGCTAATCTACTGCCAGCGATGGAATCTTGCAGACAAACGGGAATTCTTTACCGCAGCTGTTGTCATTCCATGACCGTAACGCTGTATAGGAGCAAACACAAGGAGACTCTTTCAGTGTTAATTGGAAGTGTGTCCACATGATGGAAGACAAAAGTCAAGTCTGCTTCGTCCATCACTGAAGAAGACGTGACACATAGTGTAGATAGAAAACAGTGAATTTCTTACCCAAAGAAATGAATTGCACCCCTGAATCGTTAGCCCCAAAGGAAAGCCTTGTTAAAAGACTTCTTTGATACAGGTTTACAACTCTGACAATCCTACAAGTTGCATGGATTTTCTGTGTATACAAAGGATCATGAAGGCAGGGTAGATGGCCATTACAGACAACCAGTAGTGCTCTAATGGCAGCTATCTTACATTATTTCATGTATATCTGATACATACAGAACGGGGTCAAGGGGGTGGGGTGTGTTTTCACAGTAAAGCTCCTTGGTACCATCAAAAGTGGTATAGACATGCCCCCAGCATGCAGCATATTTACTTCATTGTTCCAAATATAAGTTGATCCCATATTTTCAGGGCCAATTTTAGGAAAACAGCTTTTCACTGAATATACATCAATAGCTATACATTACAACCTTGAACCTCTGCTGCCCTAACAAAATCCCACAAGAGAATCAATAACCAAGGAAAGGATATGAAAGGTTAAATGCACAAAAAGACTAAAATAAAAACTGAACTGAAAGAAATTCTAAGTTGTTTTTATTATTGCATGCACAAAAATACTGCAAGGCTAGGGGCAGAAATTACACACAAACTGGTATAAGTGATTGGAAACCGGTTCAAATCAGTAACAGAACAAAAGTTCAGTGCACATAAGCCACTTTCAAAATGGCAGAAACTGGTTTAAGATAAATCTGGATAAATGCAGTATCAGACTTGACTGATTTAGGCTAAATTGGTTTATTTAACTTCTGTCCCAGATCGCCTCCAGATTCAAGTTAACTCACAGTCCCCCAGCATCCCAGAATGTTTTGTACCTCCCCCACAAACCTCCTCTTGCAGGTTACTCTTGGCCCAAGCTGTCTGCTCCAGCTGACCAGAAAGGCTTCTGGCCTGGTCCACTAGGCATGTGGCTGCATTTTCAGAATCAAAAGTGAATGTCTGTTCACTTGCTTATTGGTTCAATCTACACAGCTCAGACCAACCTGCAAAGATTGAATCAATTCAGCCTTGGACTTGTCGACTGTCTGTACTTAGCTCAAAAGTCAAAACCCAGTTACAGGTTGATGCCACATAAGTCAAGTGTGATTCTTTTTGGTTCTGTTGGAGAGGGGAAGGTAGACATGATCTAAACAACACCGTATCAATTTTACTGTATTAGTTTGGAAGAAATATTTTAGTATTTCCTCATCTCGTGCTAACAAATGTTCAATGATAATACTGATGAACTGTGGTAAGAGTGCAAAGTACTATTTTTCACTTATAAAATCCAGACCCTCCCCAGCAAATATGGCCAAATATCACTGCAGACTAAACAACATTTGGAGGGAATCTGTGAGAAATCACAACCTATTCCAGAATCTGTATTTAAGTGGTGAAAACTGGAAAATTTGACCACTGAGCAAATCCAATCATTCCTGAGAAGTAAATAATGTCCCTCAAGCCTCATCCATCAGTGTATGGTGTTATAACAGAGTAAACAGAGAGAGAGAGAAACAGAAAGAGGATTATAGAGCAGAGGGAGGGGGTGTTTGGTAGGGGAAGGTACTCCACCGAGCTCACTTGAGTAGACAGGAAGCCACAACAACAGAAAATATACAACCTCATCTGCATAAATAAGATCAAATGGAATGATTCCTCCCTGCCAGCATCTTTTTTATGTATGGAAAAGGGTGAGCTACATCTTACTAAATTTATTAATATGCAAATACAGCCTAATATGTCCTTGCTGTGAGTCATGAGCTACAACCTGCAAAGGGAACACACAGAACCTACCACTGTTATATCGGTACCAGATCTGCACACAATCTTCCTCTTCTGGAATAGAGTGGATCCCATCATCTGGCTGGTTGCCATCCCAGTAGTTATAATCATACAATGTGCCATCCGTCCATTCAAAATGCCCTTCCTATCAAAACAGCAAGAGAAAGTTAGGATAAAAATGACTGCAATGATTGCAATGGTGTTTTTGTCTGATCGTAGACTCCTGGATTTGACCCACTCAATACTACTGTCACCCTAGTAAAGTCTGGCATCAACTGAACCTCATCCTTCTGTCTCAGTGATAATCGACTCTTAGGCTCCGAGTGATAAAATAGTTCTTCACTTAGGCACGTTGCTTGAGATCCTAGAATCACTGCAAGTTAGAAAAGGTAACTGGTAATGAAGGGCACACAGTACATTAATTCTGTCCCTAAAACAATAACACTCAGGAAGAAAAAGGAAGGGAGTGCAGAATGTATACACTGCAGAGACTCAAGTTAGATTAGAGCAAATATATTTAGGATGTAGCATTGAAAATATATTCCTTTACTAAAGAGCATTAACAGATCAAGTAGGGCTGTGTGAAATGGCACCCTTGCATTTCAACTTTCGTTTCGACTTGAAACTGCTGTTCCGTTTCGTTTCATTGAAATAGTTTCGCTGTTTCAATGCTGTTTTGATGTTTCGCCCATAGCCTATAATGGGGAAGCTCAAAACAGCCTATAACTTTGTCATTTCTGGCCTGATTTGGATGAAAGTTGCAGGGATGGTAGCCCTTCCTGAGGGCATGAATCTTACTAAGTTTCAAGAAGATCAGTGCAGGGGGTTTGGGGAAACTGCACCTCAAATTCTTGAAAGCAAAACTCATGTCACATGTACGTGTTAAGCCACAGCTGAGGCAATGAAGCCTGCCAAGTTTCAAGGAGATAAGTGCAGGGCTTTGGGGGAAACTGCCCCTCAAGATGCAGACAAGCAAGACTCATGACATGGGTGACCCTGTGTGTGCTAAGGAGCAGCTGGTTGACAGCTGCAGGGATGGTGGCCCCTGCTGAGGCCACGAAGCCTGCCAGCTGCCAAGGAGATCAGTGCAGGGGGGTTCTGGGGCCCTGCACCCCTAACTGCTGACAGGCAAAACTCGTGTCATGGGTGGATGACACTGAGTGTGTGTTAAGGTGCGCCCTCACTCAACTGACACTAAGGAAGAAAGCAGGGCAGTTCAAACAATGCTACCTTTTATGCTGCTTTCCCATCCCTCCCCCAGAACACTGGGATTGGAAGAGACCTCAGAGAAGGATGACAGTCACTGGCCAGCTACCCAGTCAATAATGAGAGCAGTCCTTTCCCCCTTCCCCTTCCCTCTCCTTACTTTAGTTTCTGTTTCCCTGCAGGCAAGCCCAGCTTGAGCTTCAAAACTCGAAACATTTCGAAAATTTTAAAACGTTTCGACTTGCCTCGTTTCATTTTGAGGCTGTTTCGAAGCTCTCTTTCATTTCGATTTCGCTGTTTCAAGCTCGAAACAAGTCAAAACAGCATTGAAACAAAACAGCCGGCAAAATTTCCCACAGCCCTGATATCAAGCACCTGCAAAAGCAAAATCAACATTGTTCACATTATAAAAATAATGAATTAAATGGAAGGATATGTTGCAAAAGAAAAACAGCCTGCAGATATGATAACATATTTGGGTCTAAAAAAGAAATTAAAATGCATGTTTTAATTTCTGAACTGTTGATAAAATGACTGTGAAATTTAACTTGTGGGTGGACCACATGGCCCTGGGAGCTGTAGTTGCATGAGAGCTGGCCACAAGTCCAATCCAGGTTGGTAGTGATGAATGCTTATCAGGATTCTCACCCAGGGTGGGGTGGCATTCTTGGTGTCCGAGCACCTGCACATGACTCATAAAATAAACCCAAAGGGTGTGTCCAGAGGAGCGCACACATGCATCGTGCCAGGGACCAATAGCAGTGGCACACAGCTGTGCTGCTGCTACTTGTCCTGGGGAACGCTTGTGCACATGCACTCTGGTGCACAGCAAGTTGCCCCAGATGGGGTGGGGGAGGCTCTGACCAGGACCTGGGCTGGCTCCAGCAGCATTACCGAGGCCCCTGGGGAATTCCCAGGGCTCCAGTGGTGCCAATCAAGTGCGCAGGGCCTGGCCAGCAACTGGAGCATGACTCCAGCTGGCCAGACTGCAGTTTCAAGTGGCACACGCTGCTACCACATGCGCCACTCTGCTTTTTTAAGGTGCAGGGGTTTTTTGACACCAGGATCTCCTGGTGTTAAAAAAACCCTGTTGTGCTGCACATTAGCAGCATGGTGAATGCCTGCACGTGTGGCAGCACAGATGGGTCTACGGCGCTATATACCATATGTGTACACTAGCCTGGGCACACCCAAAGATTTCAAATAAGAATCCATACTGTATATAAAAAAAGAAAGAAAGAAGAGCGTTTTGACCTGTGAGCTTCCTGAGTTCTTTGCAACAGAGGAATTGCTCTTTTACTGTTTCCAAAGTTAAGAAAAAAGAAAAAGAAAAGATCTGGTATTTTCAAAAGAGTGCCTTGAGTCTAACAAGGTGCCTTGAGTCTTAAAAGTTTGAGAACCACTGGTCTAAGCCCATCTAGTGTTTGGTAGCCTCTGTGAAATGGTGGTTTTAGGCTTACCCATCATCTAAAGCTGGTCAAATTTCCAAAGGAAATAAAGCTGTTTCTTAAAACCAAAAGTTTTGTGAAAAGCGTCCTGTTTCTCTGAAATTTCGGGATTTGCATTAAAGTACAAACTCTCAACATTTCAATATTTTTCCTCATTCCTGACCTATCTCCCTTTTTCCTTTTTTTGCTGACAGCTATAGAAGAATAAACGATAGCTAAGGGCTTTCCCCATGTCTTTTTCAGCCACTCTCAAGCTTTCAAAATGTTAACTATGCAGAAATAATGTAGTACAACAAGGAAAACTGAAATTCTGCAATTGTGCTACTATGTGAGTTTTCTTATGCTGCAGAGAAAGGCAACAGGGATAATTAGTGGTATGGGGGGCTTCCATATGAGAAGAGGCTAGGCTTATTCAGTTGAGAAGAGAGACGCTGGAGGGGGAGGTGATAAGGATTTACAAAATACTAAATGAAAAGAGAAAGTAAATAGAGATTTATTATTTACTCTCTCTGACAATACAAGACCTAAGGGTCACAAAATGAAACTGGTGGGTAGCCAACTTTGAACTAACAAAGAAAAGGAAGTTCTTTTTCGCAGAGTGTACAATCCAAGTGTGGAACTCATTGCCACCAGATGTTGTGGAAACAGACAGTTTAGCCAGATTCAAAAAGGGATTGGACAAATTCTTGGAGGAAAGGGGCAGCAGTAGTTACTGAGCCACAGGAGTTAGGGAGTCAGCTTCTGAATTAGACCATCCTAGACCTTAAATGCTGGATGCTGCAAGTGAGAGAGGAACAGGTTGGGTTTGTTTGGTTTTTTTTTTTTTGGGGGGGGGGGGGGGGGGGGGGGGGGCACGCTGGTCATACCTAGTTCAATCTCCCTTTCAGCATCTGCCCTCTGTCCCTGTGTGACACAGGAGACTCAGCAAGATGGACCTATGGTCTGACCCCGTAAAAGGGCAATTCTTTTGTTCTTAAGTCCTAGAAGTTTCGAATAGTTAGGAGTGCCAAGGTTACCGAATTCCAGTTTTATTTTTGTTACTCTTCAACTTTTCAAAAAAAAATCTTCAGAAGTTACAAGACAAGAGCATTTTAAAAACTAAGTAGGAAAAGAATAACTCTAGATAACATCTATTTTACTAAACTTGTGGGTAACAGTAAAAGGAAAGGAAATGAATGGGGAAAAAGGAGAAAAATATTTGGAAGAAAAATAAAAACAAAAAAAAAGTTAAGTTTCATACTGTGGAAAATGGAAACAACATGGGAATTTCAAAATGTAGCATGACATTTGTCCTTCTGTGGTCCTTCTACTTTTAGTGAGAGCAAACACTCACTGACTGTGGATACTGAGAAAGCCTTTAATCTTACCAAGTGTGAGCTGAAGCCCTGAGCACTGGACAAGTTTGCTTTGCTCTGTCGCATACATATCTAGAAACCTTGCTTCCCCAGAACTGCTGGTTTTCAAAGTACTGCTGAACTCAGAGGAAGAAAAGATTTTAATATTTGGTATGTGGGATTTGAGGAAAAAAGAAATATTACTTTGCCTTGGGTGCATTGCCTCAACTCCAGGAAGAACAGTTTTTTTATGGGGAAACCAGCATAGGAAAAACTAGATAATATTTAGTATTGTAGTAATTTCTCACCTGTCTTAGATCACTGAGTCCCATCCAGATATCAGTTGGTATCCCAGGCACACGGCTGTTCACCAGGTCATACACAAAGACATTCTCTTCCCAGCTGGTAAAGTAACGTAATATGCAAAAGGGAGGAAGTTTGTATTAGTGAAATGAAGCAAAGACAATCCTAGATCATTTAATTTGGACCAAGACAGCCTTGTCTTTCAATGACCCTTCAAAAGTATCCATGATCATGGTTGTCCTTCAGCTGTGTAAAAAGATGACTTATAATGGTGAAAATCAGAAAAATCCAGAAAACCAAGGAAATGTGCCATGAAAATTAATTCATTTTTTTGCCCTTCCTTAGAATCAAAAGAAAAAAATTAAACCTTGAAAAGTTCAAAATTGTGTGGGCACAAATGAGACAACCCAGAGCAATCCTGGCCAGGTCATGAGTGACTACAGGGCTCTGGGAGCAGGGCTCAGGGGGTTGGGAGTGTAAGGGGGTTTTTCCTCAATCCTTCCAGTTATGGGTCTCGGGCAGAAGAGGGAGAGATGAATCGAGGCAGTAAGCAGAAGACTGCAGTGCTAGTGCCACCGTGAAGGCTTCAGCTTCTAAGGCCACAGTCCACTCTTCAGAAAGAGAGGCAGCGGTCTGTTGGGAAGAGACGGCCTCTACCTCACTCCACTGAGGAAGAAGCTCTTCTCAGCCAGAATGACTGACTTGCTCGACCAGGCTTTAAACTAAGCTCACCGGGAGACGGGTGGACAACCACCAGAGCCAGCTCACCAAGCATCAACCGCAAAACCAGCAGGTTCGGATGCTCAAGGGAACCCACTTCTACCCCAGCCCAGGAACAGAGCTTCTCCACGAGTACAAGACAGCCTAGGGCCTCCAATGGCACACGTAAGTGCCTGTACACTAATGCTAGGAGTTTGGGGAATAAACAGGAGGAATTGGTCAGAGGGCAAGAGAACAGGAGTTATGGAGAGAGGCTGAGAGCCATGGAGAAGCGCAGGCTCAGGGGTGACTTGGTGGCAGCCTGTAAGTATATAAGGGGTGTACATCAGGATCTGGGGGAACGTCTGTTCACCAGATCGCCCCAAGGGATGACAAGGTCCAGCGGTCACAAACTCCTCTGCGACCATTTTAGGCTGGACATAAGGAAAAGCTTCTTTACTGCCCAAGCCCCCAAGGCCTGGAACAAACTCCCCCCAGAGGTGATGCAAGCACCTGCTCTGGACACTTCCAAGAAATATTTGGACATTTACGTTGCTGGAATACTTTGACCCTAGCTAACTTCCTGCCCCTTGGGGAGGGGGCTGGACCCGATGATCTTCCGAGGTCCCTTCCAGCCCTAATATCTATGAAATCTATAAAACCATGTGACTGGCTATGCTAACAACCAAGGGCTGTGCTGCTGGAAGGCAGCTACCCCTGTGGTTTTGTCATTACTCATGAATATACTCTTTACTATGCAAGATAAGGGCATGTCATGAAATACATTTAAGCTTTTCAGTGGGCTAAACCATCCTAAAACATTTCTTAAACCATCAAAAATGGCAGAGACTTGGAAGGCAGACAAACCCTAGCAACAGAACATGGTAAGGTGAAAACCCATTCTTACAATAGGGTTTTTTTTTTCAAGGACTCTACACAAATATGACCACAAAATGGGTATTAGCATGCATTTGTGCACACAAAAAGGTACATCTGCTTGTGAACTTCAGGTAGTAGTTGGCATGTAACATATGCTCAAAAGGATACCTTTGTATGCATATCTGTAGCATCTGTTGGTAACAGGCTCTGTAGGTTAATATAGAACCTTAGTTAAATCCAAGGCAATAAATATTATTTCACTGTACCCAACAGTATAGGGCATAAACTTATTTATGTTCATTTATCATGGATCATGGCCACAGAAGTGCCTCTGTGCTTCATTAAGAGCAACATGGATGAAGCAGCTTCAGATTTATCAGCTCTGCTACTCAAGATGATGGATAATCTCTGCTAGATGTCTGTGTAGTACAGCTGGGGAGTTCTGATTCTGTTCGGCAAAGAACAGAGGTACACATGCTCCCTAGCTAATTTGTTGCCACACAGATACACAGCGTTTATTAAAGTGTTAAATTCAGCTTCAAGATGTCTGTTCTGTCCTATGAAGGTTAAAATCCTGCTGGGGAATTATTTTTCCTGCGTAAGACATAATTAGGTTGGACCTGGAGAATGTCTTGGAAACACATTTCTATGATTCTTACCTGTGGATGGAAGCTAACTTGGCTGATTTTATGCCAATGGAAAACTCAGCACAATACAGGTCAGCTTCAGCCCATGTTTTATTGATGGGAAAGTATCTGTAACAGTATCCTTCATAGTCTGTCCAGAATAGTGGGCAGGAGTAGGACTGAATGGGCTCTGGCATAGCTGGGTAGAAAGAAAAGAGAAGTTGAAGTGAGTTTAATACATAACAGCTGCAGGAACTGTGTGAACAGGAATGGTGAGGAGCCTTCCTTTCAGGTCCTGTGTCAGTCTGTTGATGTTACCAAGAAAAACAAAAAGTTTAAGGGCCAAGATTTACTTGCGATTTTGGGTGGCTCCATTTTTGGTGGCACTTGTGAAAAACAGTGATTGGATTCTTATAAGGTAGAGACTAAAGATTTGCTGGAAGTCAAGCCTCTTCAGTTGTCTTGAGGTGGGCACTCAAAAAGCATTAACCACTTTCTAAAAATCTCTCCTTTCTTCTGTTGAAGACTGGCCTTCTCTTGGGCCAGCAGCCGGTGAGTAGACGGTGGGCTGGCTGAGAGCATGCACCAGTAGGCCACTGTTGCTCCTCCCACCCCCGCCTGTCACTGGTTGACATCCTACACTGTCCACACACAAGACCTTATCTTCCCCTCTCTCCATGGGTGCTTGCTTATACGTGGCAGCTCAGCCAGCTCTTTGCATGAAGCTGTAGAGTCAAGGCCTCTCCTGCTGAGAGGACAGAGTCCAGGCAGGGCTGCGATCCTTCCAAGGATCAGTGCAAAGGACATTCCTCCCAGTCCTACTGATGTCTCTGGGGGATGCCCCTGCTGGGAGATAATAGTTAAAGGCCTGCAGAGGTGCAAACCTGGATTTCTTCCCTTTTTTCTCTCTTTCCAGCAACATATCCCAGCTTTTGTTTGGAAGAGGAGAGGACAGTGAATGTGTGGAGTGACCAGGTTGAAGACATGGGGGACATGAATCCCGCGCTGCTGTGTCAAGGTCTGTGCTCAAAGGACACGTCTATGCCATCAAAGAACTATGCTGAGGAACATGCCCCTTTTTTTAAAGGAAATTTTTCACGTTCCCAGCCAAATCAAGTCCAAATCCATGAGCCAGTCCAGAACCCTAAGGGGCCCTACAACCGGGAAACATCCTCCACCCCGCCTAGGACTTCAGATGTTTCCAAAGTCTTTGGCAGGCATCCTATGTTCAGGCCCAAGGCCAGAGTCTTGGGGTTCAGATGCCTCCAAGTTTTCCTTGTCTTTGGCCATATGGCCGCAGGAGCAAGCTAGGGAGGAGGCTCCCATTTCCATAAAGTGGGTTTAAAGCCCCAGAACTTCGGCAGGTACTAAACCATGCCAGAAGAGCAGTTATCTCCAGGCACACTTAAGGAAAACTGCCTTCATGGACCCAGATGCACGGTGTTTTCCCCTGCCAGGTAAGTATAAGGAACATGTCACACCTGCTCCTTCCACACAGCACCCTGATGTGGACGTAATGCAGCGCCCGTGCTGTGGGGCCAGGCACGTGACAATAAGCTCCCACTCAGGAGAGATATGGCTGCTTCACTGTGGCAGTCCCTGGCATATACTTTTGAAAGCACAGACTAGCTTGGTGGAAAGAAACAACTGCCCAGCTCAGTCTATTACGTTTCATTGCTTCTACAAAAGGTTGAATTAGTCGTAACACAAAGACACATTTGTTCCATCCAAATTAACCTACCAGAGCCTCTTCTCTCACCTCTCTCCCTACTGGGGACATGGAAAGAAGCATGGGCAGTTTGAACTGTCACAGTTCATTTACTGAACTCCCTCAGTTAGGAACAACTGAACAATCCCAATGCTTTTATTTCCAGGCAACGTTGCAGAATTAAAACAGACATATTTCTGCATCTTAACCAACTGATTAAGAAATTATTAGCAAAAAGTAACAGTACAATTTCCTATAGCATGTGTAGGTACCCAGTGGCCCTTTTTGTCTTTTGTGCTCAAGCTGATTGATTTGATGATGAAATTCAGGAAAATATGTTGCTCTACATTGCTGATGCAGGGAAGAAATAGGTGGTCTGGAGCCTCTACATGTTACCATGGTATAAATAGTTACAATTTTTGCTGTCTATTTTCCAAGGAAGATGGAAGCAACACTGCGGTATTTTATACAAGTAGGCTTGGGCCAAGTCTCACTTACATCAGTGCCCAGAAAAAGCAGACACGTAGCAAAAGCTGTATCCTTGCAGCGAATACCAGAGACGAGGAAGACTCCAGCCCAAGAGACCTGGAAAAAACTGGGAGCCTTGGTGGGAAAGTGAATGTGAAATGTGCAACTTAAGGCAGGAAAAGCAATTAAAATAATACGGAGAATTGGCAAAAGACACCTAAATAATCACAGGCTGAATGGCATGGAGGGCTGATACTGAGCATAAATGTAAAACCATCTGCTAAACCTCCAGGAGGCAGTTAGAAAGGGACAGGGTCCAGCAAGCTCCTTAAGGACAAGTTTCACTTCAAGCATTTGATGAGTCTTGCTGAAGTCCAGAGCATGAATGACTCCCGAGACTGGGGGGGGCACCATGGTGGCAAGCGGGGACCACCTGCAGCCGCTGACATCAGTGGCAGTGAGCTGGGACTGCCCACAGCCGCCAACGTTGGCAGCGGCAAGCAGAGATCGCTTGCAGCCTCCAGTGGTGGTGTCTGTGGCGGGGGGTGGCAAGTGGCAAGTGGGGACCACCTGCAGATGCCACTGGATGCATCGACAGTGAGAGGGGGGCAGGTGTGAGCGGTGACCACCTGCAGAAGCCGGCAGCAGCTTCGTGGGAGCCAATCTCAAGGGGGGGCATGTGCCCCCTGTTTCCCTCCTACACATTGCCTATGGTCCATAGGATAATCTATGTATCTGAAGTTAGGCATGTGCTTAAGTATCTTGCTTTTGTCACCAACCTATTCTCTCTCTCCAGACAAGTTTCTTGCAAAGGGTGGGTGCTGTTCTCTAGAGGAAGCTCATTCTCTTGTATTTATATTATATCAATGGACAAATGCAGCAAAGAGCACCCTAGTATTGCACAAGGTGCAAGTTAAGTGACTGCAGTGGACATTGCAGAGCTGGAAAAGGATATCTGGGGGAAGAGACTTCAGCTCTGGAGGAGAGTCAGGGAACTGATGCTGATAAAAGAAAAGGCATAACCAATATGGATGATTTCTAACATTTTGGGGAAGGTGGATGCCGCAAAACTATCCAAGCAGGTTACAGACTGAAACCCTAGAAGGGTCAACTTGATGCTAGGAAAGGCTCTGGTATATGGAACTTCAACTTACATGGAGTGTAATTAAGATGTATTATAAACTCTGCCCAAAGCCCCAAATGACAGGGCCACTGTGAGCACATAAACAAGGAATGAGAAGGGCCCCGAATACAAGTGGTAGCATGAGCGGAGCTGATTTAGCTCCTTGCGTTCCCACGTCACCATGTCCTTTACCCACTGGATCACCACCCCTTTCATGACAATCCATAACCTAGAGGTCTGGGTTACAGATCAGCTCTCCTAAGACTGCCAACGTGTGGCAGCAGAATGACCTAAATAGCTGGAAGTAACTGTTCCCTGCATTTCAGATCTCACAACAGCAAGCACTGCAAAACAAGCAGCAGATGCTGGAGTGCTATAGCTCAGTGTCTCCCGCTGACCCAAGATATTGTACGCCCTCAAAATGTCAAAGAGACCGAGTCAAGTTATTTCAAGACCTGCAGCATGCAAGCTATTCTGCTGGTCGACAATAAAAGGCTGCCTTTTCTTTCACTCCCGTTCTCTGACAGCCTGACGCCTTCACCAACACTCTTCTGTTCCCGCTGCTCAGATAAAAGCTAATTATTTCTCAATTCATTCTTCCTTTGTGGCCACCCTTCCGCTTTTTCCCTGAGAGCTCTTTAGAGGATATATACTGACACAATAGCTCTTGGAGCTGGTTGCAGTCACTCACTATCAGCCTTGGAAAGTGCCATACCTAGATAACTGGGAAGGGTAAGCAACTCCTATCTTAAGAACCACAAGCTGGCGGAGGGAAGGTGACCAGGAACAACGGTCACAAGCTGGCGGAGGGAAGGTTTAAGTTGGACATCAGGAGGCGCTACTTCACAGTCAGGGCGGCTAGGGTCTGGAACCAGCTTCCAAGTGAGGTGGTGCAGGCTCCCACCCTGGGGGTTTTTAAGAGGAGGTTGGATGACCACCTTACTGGGGTCATTTGACCCCAGTGCTCTTCCTGCCATGGCAAGGGGTCGGACTAGATGATCTGCTCAGGTCCCTTCCGACCCTAGAAACTATGAAACTATGAAACCAGGTGACACTGTTGAGATGAATAAGCTGCTTTCCAATCACTGTCTGATGGCATCAGTCACCAGCTATGGAAAAAATAGCCTGTCCCAAATAAGAAAAATGACAGAAAAAGGGAAGATGTGCTCCACTCCATTCACAACAAGGTGATAGGCCACATCTTGTCAGCCCCGCTCTAGGAAAGCCCTTTCTGAGCAGTCCCTAAGCATAAGGGTGAGCTTCACTTTAAGGCAGTGTTTCTCAACCCATGGCTGGGTTGCAAGAATATATGAAAGGGCCGCAAACACATTTGAAAAATGGATTCTCTTTTAAAGGAGGAAAACATGGGAAACCATGGGTTTTCCCTTGCATGCTTACAGAGCTCCAGCCTGCAAGGGGCTGCATGGAGCCCTCCATGCCCCACACACCAACCCACTGCCTCGTGTCTGAGGGCCTGGTGGCATGGGGCAGTGGGTTGGGAGTGAGGGGCACTGGGTGGGGACTGACCACTGATGTTTACAAATGGGTCCTGGTCCAAGAAAGGTTGAGAACCGCTGCTTTAAGGAGTTTCCAGCTAATGGAGCTGAAGGATCCAAACCTTCAGATCCAAGGAAGCCACAGACAATAAGATGCAAATAGCTGCAAAGCATCTTGGTCTCTTCCTTTTCTCTAGCACCACAATGTGCTGAGGAAAGGGAAGCTAATACTTCTAATAATTTCTGGGGCTACATCAGCCTTAACAGCACAAGGTGCCTGAGCCTCACACCCTTACTCACTTCCAGACCTCCCAAAGATCCCCTACCCTGGCACTGAGAGACCTCGAAGGGTAAGGTGACACACACTGCATTGCCTCCTCTTGTTCCCCGCCAGCCAAAGTACT